ACTACATTCCATTCCCCCCGAGCACACTGGGCCAGGCAGCCAGTGCTCAGCCACAGAAGAAAAGACGCATAGATGGGCATTATTTCCAGGAGAAAGCTTTGGGAATCAGTGTTCTGACTCCAGACACTCTACTCCATTGCCCCAGCTGGTAACATGGAGGCCTAAGGGTTGACAAATCAATCCACAGCAGGCACCCCAACTCCAGAAGGATGGTGTGACAGAAAGGTGCTGGCTTAGGTACAGTGTCCTGGAATGCTGTGTGACAGAGATAAAGTTCTTGTTTTTATTTATTTATATTTTACATCCAGATGTTAATGGTTGTAACATTTTTTTTAATGGATGATGGGAATTGGGGTAACACTTTGTAGTGGTATTTAGATACCAGTTGATACATTTTAAAAAGAGGTAACAGGTTTTGTCTTCTGGTTTTGTTTTTTATCCTGAATGAAATGTCTTATGAAGTCCCATATATAGAATAGTCAAGCCTAGAAGCAGAGAGCAAAATGGTGGTTGCCAGGGGCTAAGGGAGGGGACGTGGGGAATTGCTATTCAACTGGTATAAAGTGTCATTTAGCAAGATGATGGAGTTCTAGAGATCTGCATTGTGTCTGTAGTTTACTATATGTACACTTTAAAATTTGTCAAAAAAGTAGATGTCCTGTTAAGTGTTCTTACGGGAAGAAAAAAAGTTAGTGGGGAAAAAAAGGCCTTTTCAAGGAACAACTTAATTTTTAGGAAGCAAGATGTAAATAATTCATTGTCCGGGGATTTTTGAACATACTACCCTCGTGTGCACTGAGAGGGAAGCACATCGTCCTCCAGTTTATCTTGAGCCCTTGTCCCCTTGTCCCTTACACTCAGGCCTTGCTAATCTTTTTCATTCTTGACCCTACTGTGCTGACACCCCAGGTTCCAAATATATGTCAAGTTGTTTCTCCTGTCTGGATGCCTCTCCTCTCCCATCCTTCATCTGGTTGCTTCTGTCCTTCCTTCTGGGTCTTAGCTTCTACATCACACCCTCGGAGAGCCTTCCTGTTCCTTGGACATGGGCAGTTCACCCAACTAACTGTATGGCCCAGAACAACCTAGACTTGACTTCTAACTTCTCTCCCCCCCAGAAGTTCTGTCTGAGCACTGTCTCCAGCTGGAGACAGCTGGACTTGTTCTTGTTTGCTGTTGGCGCCCCAGCGCTTGGCACAGGTGCTCTGTGAATATATGCTGAGTGAACAACTGGTGTTGTTTTAAGAACCCTGCCAATTGGAGAGGCAGATTACTTATTTCTTAATGGTCTAAACTGGTGTTGCTTGGAAGTTTTACTGCTACAGTTCACATGGGTGTTGAGAGGCAGAACCTGCTGTGGGCCTGGCTGGTGTCACTCCCAGCCTGCAGAATTAGTGGTGCATCTACATACTTTTTTATCTTATTTGGGGGATGCAGATGTGTGAAGATTATGAATTGCTCTACTTTCTTTAAAAAAAATTTTTTTCTTTTTCTTTGCAAACATTGGTATTTTTTTTTTTAATTCATTTGTAATACATCTCACAACTGCTCACAACACACTATTGCCTGAACTGAGGCAACAAAGTTGAGAATTCTGGTAGTTATCAAGGGGACCTGTTAAATGAAGATTTGGATTCAAATTTGAGGTGGTGGCTGCTACTCATTAATTTTGATACCTCCCAAAAGCCCCTGTAGTCCACCAATTTGTCTGTTGGGAGAAGTAGAGGATTAGTGGTATAAAATAGTTAAGAATTTAGGCTTTGAGGTCAGACTTACTCGGTTTAGAACCCCCAGGCTGCCACCCCAGCTCTGTGGTCTTGGGCAAGTTATTTAACTTGTATAAGCCTCCGTTTCTTCATCTGTAAAATGGGACTAATGATGGTTCCTACCTCTGATGGTTATTGTGAAAGTTTAGGTAATCCATGTAAATCACTTAGCTCTGTTATTTTCTTTGGAGAGGGTAGGTTAGAAATTGACATCCAGTTTGGGGTCACCCACTTCACAGAGAAGAAAAAGCTGGGTACCTGGGCCCACTTATTTCTGCTCATCAGCAAGTTCCCAGAGGGCACAGCCTGTGCCTGGGGTATCTTGTGCCCATGGTGCCCTACATCCTGTGAGTGATCTGAACATTTGAAAAGATGCTTAGAGATCCAAGGTTCTGTACTTGTTATTGTACACACCTGAGGAAAGAAGAATGGCCACTGAGCAAAGGACGTAAGAAAGACAAACTGAGCCGTCAGAATAACACCTAGTACTCCACCAACTGGCATGCAAGTCATTGGGATTTGGTAGGAATTAGGGGAAATCTACTCAGCCAGCCTGCGTCTCCATTTCCACAAGACCTTTTTCAGGACCAGGAGAGCCCTGGAAGTGGAATAAGGAAGAGCATGGCCCTGGGGCATGGCTTTTATTCAGCCTCTCTCTCCCCAGGCTGCTGAGAAGGGTCATGTGGACATCTGCTCCCTCCTGTTGCAACACTGCCCCGCCCTGAAGGCCATCAGGGATCGGAAGGCAAGATTAGCATGCGACCTGCTGCCAAGCAACAGTGACCTGCAGGACCTGCTGGCAGGGTGAGCTGCTTGCCTGGCTTTAGTGCATCTCCACATCAACAGGTTTTCCTAAGGGGAGGAGAAGCAGTTCATCTCCATATCAGTGGCTAATTACCTCGGTGACCAGAGAGCTTATCTGAACCTGAGAGGTTGGAGCGGGTGTTTTGCTTGCTTCTGCCCTAGCAGGAGACAGCCCCCTAGACCAGTTTGTAAGCAATAAACGGGTTTTGAACTTTATTTCTCTCTGACTGATTTCGGTTTCAGCTAGGTATTTTGCCCTGGCAGAGTTAACGCCATTTAACATTTTTTTCTTTTGATTGTTTCACAGTTGTTGTTTGTGTATCTGGATACTGATCCTGGGTTTTTTTGTAATTTTTTTCTTTCATACTGTCATTTGTCTCTGTTGGTGTCTATTCATGAAATTGGTAGGCAATAACTATTAAAATTTAAATGAGCAGGGCCAGTGATTTGATTTCTCTCTAGCTTCCTAAAGAAATATTCATCCCCGTATACAAAGATGTTTATTTACGGAGGGTTTACAGTAAAGATGTGCAGTGGAACATGGGCTATAATGTAAAAAGGAGGGGAGATAACCTAAGTGCTCCCAACAGGGGTCTGGTTAAATTCTGGGATGCATATCACTGGAGTGCAGTGTACGCTCATGTGGATGGCATGCTGAGTCGGGATCACAGTGTGATGCCTCTTAAAGCATGTCTATAGAAATGTGTACACACAAAAAATATACAAGGAAAAAGTTGGGAAGATATGTATTGAACTGGTGTCACTTCCCTAGGCCACTCTGGCAAGAGTGTTTTGTCAAGGTGGTCTCGAGCTTTATTTGTTAGATGTGGGGGTTTTTTTACAAGGAGTAATATTCTAAGTCAGAATTGTAAATAACAGTTTGTTGCAAGTGGAAGAAAGTAGTTGACTGCTGAGAATTTCAGTTGATGCAAAATGCCCTTGTCCTTGAATGCTAAAGCCGTTTTGGAGTCAGTGGCAGACAGTGGAGTCTAGAGCTAAAGTCTGACCTTTTCTTGTCTGTTTACCCTCACTCTAGTCTAGGTTACTCTTTCCTTCCTCACAACCAAAGGCAAGAAATCCCCTTTGACAAAAATACCCAGAAACATAAGGACTGAGTTTCTTTAAAAAGCTCAGGTCTCCCCAAGTCTCAAAACTTGGAAATACTTAACTGGGAAGCCAACTGTGGGTGGGGCCACTTGCAGCCCATTGGGGCCTGGGGCTGCCCTGGACTCACGGTTCTCCCTCCCTCTCATTCTGTCATCTCTGCTCCTGTTGCTCAGATTCTGGAGTCTTATTAGCTATCAGCTTTCCTTTCAAAGGTCAAGGCAGAGTTCAAGGCATAGCTGGGGGGAAGGGCATGCTTGGTATTTTTAGGGAGAATTTTGAGGAAGTTTGGGTTGTTTTGTGACTGGATTAATGTTTAATGTTCCGTACTTGGACCTGGAATGGATCTCGGCCTCACCTTCCCTGTGGAAAGGCATGCTCCGGGCCGGGAGAGCGCCTGGTGAGGACCAGGCAAGGACTTCTGGGAGGCGTGGACACCGGCAGCAGGCTGCACGCGGTGCTAAGGGCACCCTAGGCAGGACGCTGGCCCTCAGAGTGGTGCTACAAAAGTGGATCCATGAGGGAGAGGTGCCTGGGCAGGAAAACCACCAAGAGCAGGGAGGCAGCCTTGCTACTGGCAGGCGCTGGGAAATCACTTGAAGCCTGACTTGCCTCCAGAGTCCCCGAGGCAGAGGTCACCTCCCCGGCCTGGCCTCTGTTTGTGGGGTGGGACGTGAGGGGGTGGTTGGACGGGGCCTCCCCGGGTCTCAGCAGCCCCACCTACTGCAGTGCCAGGGGCTTTTGCTGGGATCAAGTGCTGTTGACTTAGGGGGTTATTCCCACTGCGTCTGGGCTTGGGCTCCCCAGGACGTGTGCTTACTGTTACATCCCTCCTGAGTAGGTGCAGGGGGGCTGGCACAGGTGCAGGACAGCAGATGTCTGAGGACACAACTGGCTCAGCTCCAAACCACCCCCTCCTGCCTTCAGCACAGCCCACACTGGCGTTTTGGCCACAGAACACAGCCACCGAGCTGCCTGGCCCTGCCCCCAGGAGGCAGCTTTCCTATAAAAGGGCTGGGCAGCTCGCCACTCTCAGCAGGGCTGTGAAGAGCAGAGGATGTGGACTTCCTCAGTGTCTGGTGGTTGGTGAGGACACGGGGCAGAGAGTGGGAGGCCAGCAGTTGTCGGGGTGCCTCCAGAGCAAGGAGGGGTCTGGCTCAGGCAGGGCAGGCAGTGCTTTCGGTGGTCTGGGGACCAAGCATTATGAGCAAAGGTCTGTCTTCTGGTCTGTGCCCAGTTGTCATGTGAGGTGGCGAGGGACAGGGTCAGGGAGCAAGGGAGGGAAACAACGGGAAAGCCTCTGGGTGGTGGAAGACACGAAACCCCATGAGCCTAGTGGGCTTTGCCCTGGTCTGTGACAGCAAAAGTGGGAGCAGCAGGTCACCTTAGAAGACATGAGGTGACTGGGTGTCGGTTTAGCTCAACTTCCCAGAAGGCAGTGGCTCTGGAGATGGTCCCGAGGGTGTGGCTGCCTTGGGGGTCACAGTGGCGGGTACTCTGGAGTTTCCTGTGTGATGAAAGAATGGGTGACACCAGTGGCACTTTGGGATGTCTCTTCTGGTAAGGAGGGCCATGGAGGCCCAGGCTATCACACTGCCCAGCAGGCCCACTTCCGCCCGGGACTGGTGGGTCCTGCCTCTGCCGGGAGGCGGTTTCAGGAGCTGAGAAGTATGTTGGTGCCGGCAATCGCTTTAGAAGGGAATGTAGTTCCACGTGCCTAGAAGCCCTGGGCTCTGCCAGCATATCATTCCAGGCTTCTCTCTCCCCCAGCCTGTTTATTCCTCAACACTTCTAGCTTCTGAGCTCCTGCAGATGGGAGACTGGGGAGGAGGAAAAGAATGGTCCATTGTATGGTGGGTCCGACCCCAAGCACAGGCCCTGGCAACTCATTTCCTCTTCACAGATTCAGGAGGTGAGTGCTAGTTTTACCCCTTCACTGATGAAGAAACACTTCACGAAGAGCCAAGATTTGAATGCAGGCATTCCGAATTTTACCCAGAAGGCATCTCCTCTGTCCCTCTGAGCTTGGGGTCAGGTGGCAGTATGGTGTGATCTGGTAAGAATGTAAGGACAACCACCCCTGAGGGAAGCTGAGGTGTCATTGCCCTGAGCTTACCTGGACAGTGTACATATAGATGTGGTACCATGCCCCTGGCCCTGTGTTCCTGTGGACAGGGCAGGGGGTGGCAGGCAGTTATCCTCCTGGGCCTCGGGTGACACTATAGCTGGTGAGAGTCCAACAGCCACGGGGATCAGGGAGAGTGAAGGGCCAGGTTGGCTGTCAGGTTGGGAACCCTGACCTCTGTACAGCAGCTCTTGTCAGGGCCCCCGACTGCACAGCTGTATTTCTGAGGACTCCTAATTTTTCTGAGTTATCCTGTTCTTACAGGTAAGTGGAGAAAGGGCTGGAAGGGAAGTGTTAGGATGCGCACATGGAGCCCTGAACCTAGAGGCTGGCCAGGTGACCGCAGGCTGGGAAAGAGGCTGGCCTGGGAGAGGCAGAAACTGGAATAGGAGGAGGAGAAAGTGAGTGATGCTGGGGGGCTGGTCTGAGGAGGGCAGGCTCAGAGCAGTGAGGGCCAGGGGTCCTGGGGCTTCTGTGGGCAGAAAAGATGAGGACTCCACTGACCCAAGAGCCCACCCCCACAACCGTGACCAGTGACCGATGGCAGGGCCCTATCTTCTGCCCACTTTCTGTCCAGCTTGAGAGATTTAACAGCTCCAGACTTAATCTGGAGAACCTGGCTGACTTGAAGACTTCAAAGATGTTAAGAAAGATTCCGGAAGCAAAGAGTTCCCTGCAGGGCCCCAGAGCCTGTGGTGAAGAAGAGTGAGTGCAGCGAGCGCACCCTGGGTGAGTTCCCCGGGGAGTGCTCCGCCCTGGGAGGGCTGGGAGCAGGCACTGCCACCTCAGCCTCGCAGCCAGCACCTGCCACCCTGACAGTCACTTCTGAGCCCCCTCCCCACCCTGTATTTACTGGCTGGAGTAGCAGTAGCAAAGCACCTCAGACAGGAATGAAAAAACAAACGTGTCATCTCACAGTTCTGGAGGCAACGAGTGTGACAGGCCAGTTCCTTCCAAGGGCTGGAAGGCAGGATGTTTCATGCCTCTGCCCGGCCTCTGGCAGATGGTGGCCATCTGGGGTTGTCCTTGGCTTGTGAATGCATCATGCCAGTCTGCCTGAGTTCCCCTGGTGTTCTCTCCCTCTGTCTAAACATCCCCTGCAGTAAGGACACTCATCATAGTGGATTAGGGCCCACCTTACTCCAGCACAGTTCATCTTAACTACAGCACAGTGACCCTGTTTCCCCATAGGTCATACTGGGGAGGAAGACATTTGTCAACCCATTTCACCTCCCCACCCAATGCCTATTCAGATAGAATCTCCCTGGGGGTAGTATTTTTAAAAAAAATTATTTGCATAAGCCACCAGTGGGCTGGCTCTCAGCCAGCTCTTAGGAGCCACTTGACTAGACTGGTGAAGCTGTGGCACCCCAGAGGCCTGCAGTCTGGGGAGTGATTTGGTCTTGTCCTTCAAATTACCTAGCTGCAGCCCCAGGCCCAGCCACAGCCTGTGTTCCTGGAGGTGTTCCTGCAGTAAGCTGCTGAGAACCAGGAGGCCCTGACTGATAAATACCAGGCAGGCAGAGGAGACCCCAGTGCCCATGATAAGGCAGCGCGGCAGGGGGTGGTGGTTGGATCACAGCAGCAGCAGCTGCAGGGTGCCGCCTTTAGTATGTTCTTGCCCTGGCCTGGGAAACGCAGCTTTCGTTGTGGCCTCCTGAGCTGGGAGGGAGGGGCCCTTTGCATGGTGCAGGACTCCAGCACAGGGAATGGGATCAGAGTGGGACCTGGGGGTTGTGCTCTCCACCTAATCTCATCTTCACGCTCAGCTCCACCAAACAGCCTTGCACTGGGCCTGTGTGAAGGGTCACAGCCAGCCTGTGCACAAGTTGATGGAAGGAGGTGCGACTGAGGATGCCCGGGACTTGGTGAGAGCAGAGGAAGGCCCATCCTCCCAGCAGACGCTCTGCTTGGCACAACAGGCCAGAGTGCTTTGGTGCTTTTATTTTGTAGCTGGACAGGATGCCTGTGTTCTGGGCCTGCTGTGGAGGACACCTGGACATCCTCAAACAACTGCTTTGTTTATGTCACTGTATTCCTATTATGTTAATATGTGTGTGCAAATTAGTTAGTTTAAAACCTATACATGCTTAAGGTACTCTACAAGAAGATATGTCAAAGAAATAATCAATCCTCCCATGTTTTCTTCCATATGCTACCTCTATAGCTTTTCTTCTTCCTTCCTAATTACAACCCTTAAATAGAATTCGTGCCTCATATCGAATTTACCGAGTATCATAATTCCTCCAGGTGGTAAAGATACCTCGAGACAAGTGCTGGGCATAGAAGCCACAGGGCATAAATCTGCAAAGAAGTAAAAAGCTAACCTTTGCAAACAATATGGCTTCTCTCTCACTTACCAACTTTACATTTCCCTGTATGGCCCCGGAAGATGACTGGTTAGCCAGAGACGGGTAAGATTCCTCAAGGGAGGAACAACCTAAGACAGGCACAGTCGCAGGGGGGCCATCAGGTGAGAATTTGGGGATCAACAGAGGTGAGGCTCAGAACCTCACCCCCCCTGCTTTGAGAGAAATCTTCTGCATCCGTGGATGTCTTGCTGCCCTTGTCTAGCCTGGATTAATACTTAGTCCATAGGCACACACCTGATCATCTGATCATCTACATTTGCCTTCTTACAGCACTAAACTATGTTTTCTACCTTTATCTTGCATCTACCTACCACTTCAGCATTTTATTAAAAATAAAAATAATAATAATAATAGGAGAAATGTGGGATCAACATATAAATCAAGTACAAAAATCAAATGAATATTCATATTTGACCTGATGGTTTATAGGTCATATTGCATGATCAAAACCGAAAGTTTCTGTGATGAATGCCCTTGTACTGTTCACCATGTAAGAATTTATTCACTATGTAAGAATTCGTTCACCATGTAAGAACTTGTTCATTATGCTTCAGAAGATTGGAGACTGACGAGAATTAGGCTTGAGATGGATTAATGATTGTACATTGAGTATTGACCCCCCTATACTGAATTTTATTGTTAACAACCATTTAATCAATAAATATGAGAGATGCCCTCTCAAAAAAAAAAATGAGTTGTTGAGGAAAACTCAAGCTATATCCCTAATCTTTTAAGATTAGGTAACAGTGCAGCCAGGCCATTACAATGTTTCCCTGTCACAGACCAAATATGTGGTCTAAGCTGGTATGTCAATGAACATGAAGAATTGCTTCTTAAGACAATTACAGGGCACCAGAATATACAAACTGACGCTTTGAGTTTTACTACCTACAATCCAAAATTAACAGAGAATGTTTGAAATTAAAAAAAAAAAAAGAACTTTGACCTAAGTCTTACACCCTATACAAAAATTAATTCGAAATGGATCACAGTCTTAAATATAATCATAAAACTACAAAATTTTAGAAAAAATATAGGAGGCAATCTACAGGACCTAGGACTAAGCAAAGAATTTTAGACATGACACCAAAAGCATAATCCCTAAGAGAGAAAAATTAGTTAAAAATAAACTTCATCAAGAAATTCAGATGGCCAACAGACACATGAAAAGATGGCTCCACATCGCTAGTCATCAGAGAAACGCAAATTAAAACCACAATGAGGTATCACCTCACACCAGTAAGGATCGCCACCATCCAAAAGAGAAACAACAACAAATATTGGCGAGGTTGTGGAGAAAGGGGAACCCTCCTACACTGCTGGTGGGAATGTAAATTAGTTCAACCATTGTGGAAAGCAGTATGAAGGTTCCTCAAAAAGCTCAAAATAGAAATACCATTTGACCCAGGAATTCCACTTCTAGGCATTTACCCTAAGAATACAGCAGCCCAGTTTGAAAAAGACAGATGCACCCCTATGTTTATCACAGCACTATTTAGAATAGCCAAGAAATGGAATCAACCTAAGTGTCCATCAGTAGATGGATAAAGAAGATGTGGTACATATTCACAATGGAATATTATTCAGCCATAAGAAGAAAACAAATCCTACCATTTGCAACAACATGGATGGAGCTGGAGGATATTATGCTTAGTGAAATAAGCCAGGCGGAGAAAGACAAGTACCAAATGATTTCACTCATATGTGGAGTATAAGAGCAAAGAAAAAACTGAAGGAACAAAACAGCAGCAGAATCACAGAACCCAAGAATGGACTAACAGTTACCAAAGGGAAAGGGACTGTGGAGGATGGGTGAGAAGGGAGGGATAAGGTGGGGGGAAAGAAAGGGGGTATTATGATTAGCATGTATAATGTGGGGGGGGCAGAGGGAGGGATGGGCAACACAGAGAAGACTAGTGACTCTACAGCATCTTATTATGCTGATGGACACTGACTGTAATGGGGTTTGTGGGGGGGGCTTGGTCACAGGGGGAGCCTAGTAACCACAGTGTTGCTCATGTAATTGTATATTACTGATACCAAAAAAAAAAAGACTTCATCAAGATTAGAAACTTTTGCTCTGCCAAAGATCCTGTTAAGAGGATGAAAAAATAAGCTACAGACTGGGAAAAACTATTACAAACCAAAAACCTGACAAAGGACTAGAATTTAGAATGTATAAAGAACTCCCAACACTCAACATTAAAAAAGAACCCAACTAATCCAATTAGAAAATGGGCAAAAGACATGAACGTACCTGCACATGGGAAGATGGATGTCAGCTATTGTATTAATACAAATGAAAACCACAGTGAGACATCACTACATACCTATGAATAGCCAAAATAAAACAGAGTGACAGTACCAAATGCTGGTGGGGATTCAGAGAAACTCATCACTCATACATTGGTAGTGGAGACAGAAAATTGTACAGCCACTCTGAAGAAGGTAATTTCTTTTAAAAAATGAGACATGCAGTAACCATACAGCCTGACAGTTGCACTACTGGACATCTGTCTCAAAAGAAAGCAATGCTTACACAAAAATCTGTAATAAATGTTCATAGCAGCTTTATTTGGAATAGCCAAAAATTGGAAACCACCCAAATGTCCTTAAAAGGGATGAGTCTACCATGGAATACTAGGCAGCAATCAAAAGGAACTACAATGCACCCAACAACCTGGATGTATCTCCAGAGTATTATGCTGAGTGAACAAACCCAATCCCAAATGGTTATATACTGTATGATCCCATTTACACAACGTTCTTGAAATGACAAAATCAGAGATGATGCACTGATTAGTGGTTGCCAGGGATTAGGGCTGGTGACCGCAGAGGGCAGGTGTGGCCTGGAGGGAGACCCTTGTGGTCATGGGACAGCCCAATACTTAGGCTGCAGTGGTGGCTACACAAGTCTCCATATAAGATGATATAAAACTACACACCCCGCCGTCAGAGTCCTGGTTTTGAAACTGCATTATAACTATGTAAGATGTAACCACTGAGGAAGACTAGGTGAAAGGTACCTCTACCTTTTCAACTTCCTATGAATCTGTAATTTCAAAATAAAAGTGAGGGGAAAAAAAAACAATAGCTCTAAATGCAACTTGGTCTCCTGGATTGGATCCTGCAACAGAAAAGGGGTATTATTGAAGACCTAGTGAAATCCACATAAAGTTTAGAATTTAGTTAATAGTTTTGTACCAGTATTAATTTTTTAGTTTTGATATATATGTGCCAAGGTTATGTTAAGATGTTAACATCAGGGAAAGCTGGGTGAAGGGTATATGGAGCTCTGAGCCTAAAATTACTTCAAAAATATAATCTTGATGCCCAGGCTGACTAAATCAGAATCCCTGGGGATGGGCCCCAGGTATCAGTATTTCTAAGTGCCGGGTGATTGTGATGTGCAGCCAAGGTTAAGAACCACTGTTTTGGAGAGATGATTTTTAAAGTGTCTGTCTCCTACCTGGGTTTGCTCTTGGGGAGAATTCCTTGAGAACAGTTTCTAAGAGAGCGTGCCCCTGCTCTTTGCCTTTATTCCCAGTGGTCCCAGGTAGGGACCTAAATCCCTTTGAGAGAGGTTCCTGAAACCCTCCTGCCTCCCTACTCTACCCAATCGCACGTCCCTGTGATGCCCTAATTTCCACACAGCTGAAGGAATATGGAAGGTAACTATAGGTAAACGAAGAGAAAGACAAATGCCTTCTTGTTCCCACTTCTCTAAAACCCCACAGCAGGGAACAGGGAAAAAGCAAAGAACTTGAAATATTTCAGAGATGTAAAAAAATCTCTGATTTCACATAAATTTTTTAAAGAAAGGCCACGGGGGTCTACTGGTCCATAACCCAGCCTTTCCTCCCTTGCTGCTATCCAGGCACATCATGCCCACAGCACCCCCACGGAGGCCTAGGAGGAATCTCATAGGTGGTGAGCCTCCCGGGATCCCACAATGAAAAGGGATTAGGTGTAGCAAAAAGATCCTTTCCTCCCATGTTGACCTCTTCTTAAAACACAGAAAGTGACAATACTGTTAGCAGCTACTAAGCAGGACAAGCAGAGAAGCAGCAATTGCAGGCCTGCCCAGCCCACTGGGGGCCAGCTGGTTCGCTCAGGGCTCTGGCAGGGCCAGACAAGCAGCCTCCACAGGAGGGAGCGGGGCCATGGGGCAGGCTCATGGGAAACCATGCTCCTAGGTTTGGCACTCAGGACAGGCTGGGGCACGTGCTTTGAAACAAGGCATTGTGAGGGAAGCCAAACAGTTCACTGTGGCCAAGGCCATGGATCTGAACCCCCAGTGGAAACTGGTACTCTTGGTTTGCTCAAAGAGTGCTACCAGCAGCAGCAGGTTGCCAAATGAAAAGCAAAGTGAGTACAGGTCACAGTCACATAAAGGCAGTAATCATGCACTCATATTATGGCTTGGCCCCAAGAGGAAAAAATGCACTACACTGTCACAGGGAGAAGGCTGGGCCCTGGGGACCGGAAGTGACATGTTCCCTTCATTCCCTCCAAGAGGTCAGAGGGCTGTGTCCCATTGACCCCCTTTCCTAAAGGAGGACAGGGCCTGCAGAAGGCTCCTGCACTGACGTCCAGCTTAAGGACAGCCCAGGACCCATCTCTACGGGCCATCTAAAACGTGGCCTGGGGGGGATGGGGACAGGCTGGCAGGAAGCTACTCCTCGGCTCTCTGCAGTTCCCCACGTGCTTGTCCATTCCCCAACCTGGGGCTGCCTGGCAAGCAGTCAGACTCCTGGGTTCCGCCCAGGGCTCTCCTCTGCGGGGAGGCTGGGTCTGCTGTGCTTGGGCCCTGGAGGAGAGAGGGAAAGGAAAATCAGTATCAAAGCTGGGAGAGGGGGCAAGTCCTACAAAACCAATGTTAAAATCATCTTTTGACAGGAAGGGGCAGGCAAGGCAGAGGATCCTCAGCACCCCTCAGGTGTCAAGGCAGGGCTGGGAGAGGTTAGTTAGGAAACTGGCCAGCCCAGCTCCATTGTGAGGACTGCCATCCCTGGGGGAGGGAAAGAGGGGGCTGGGGGCTCTGCTCACAGGTGGCCAAGGCCTCATGCTGGGCCAGGGCGCCTGCCCTGGACAATAGAGCACCTGCCTGGAAGGAAGCGTGATGTTCAAGATCTTCTAGAAAAATGAAAAGTAGCAATAAGGGACAGGAAGGGGCCACTCACCCCCCAGGGAGATACACCTCTCTGTCTGGGGGAGGGCTTAGAGGATTCCCCCCAGCAACTAAAGGGCTGGGAAAGGAAAGCAAAGAGAAAGGGAAAGGGAAGATATTTACCTGGGTGTTTTCTTAAAACAAAAAATGCTCACTAGTCCACAATTATCAACTGCAGTTTCCAAATGTGCCAAAGAGGGAAAGGTCTACTGGGAAGGCTAGAGAGAGCAGAGAGAGAGAAGAGGGGACAGGCTGCTGAGTGAACAGCAGGGCCGCCCGCTTGGGCTGCAGCACAGAGGTGGCCTGTGGCTGTGCAGGCAGGGGGAGGCACAGGTGCACACTCGGCATCCTGCTGCTCAGAACAAGCAGGACGCAGAAGGCACAGTGTCCAGAACGGACTTGCCCTTGGAAATCCAATTCTGCGAGTCCAAATTTGAAATGGCAGGCCAGGAGTCAGAAACCTGTTCCTGTAAAGGGCTGTTATTTTTAGGTTTTGCAGATCATTTGGTCTCCATGACAAGGACTCAATTCCACTGTTGAGCTCAAAGGCAGCCATACACAATCGATAAACCAATGAGCAGGTTCCAGTGAGACACCACTGACAGGAATAGCCAGCTGGCCAGACTTCTTCGCCCTTGGGCAGGTGTGCCAATCCTTGCTGTAGGCAGTTAGAAACCATTGTGTCTAACCAGCATTTCCATAAAGGCACTCTGCCAGGGAATCTAGTGCCAGAGCCACCCAAGGGACGGCGCTGACCTGAACTATGTGACCCACATGCCACTATTAAGTTATTCCCTCACAGGACTGCCCTACAGCAGCTGACTCCAGAAGATTAAAGAAACACTCTTGGTCTATGATAAAGATGAAAAGAAGGGAAAACCTTCATTCTTAGATTTAAGTCCCTGAATACAACGTGCAGTCTGAGCAGCAAACAGAGCCAGAAGAGGCTGACACGTGAGAAAACCAAAGCCAAAAGGCTCACATTTTGAAATAACAAAAACATTTTGGCTTTTGAGATGTGGGTCTAATGTGATGGTGCAAAGCTCCATATAAAGGACATCTCACTGAATAAAGAACATGGCAGGGCAAACCTAGGTGTGCACAGCCCTGAGAGTGTACCTCCATCCAGGAAGGGCTGCCCTGGCCCCCACCTCACTCTGCCGTGGTGTAGGCTGGGGCTCTCTGTCCTTTGCACCTGCATGTCTCCTCTCAGAAAGCAGCTTTTTCTTATAAAAGCATGTTTGTGTTCTCAAGTGTGGGTCTAAGTGACCAGAGTGATCCCCTGCAAGGCACCAGAGACCAATGCCATGCATAGGGTCTCTGATTCTTCATCTGTAAGATGATCAGAAGAGCTACCACCTCTCAAATCCATGGGGAAGTTTTCTTAGGTGGGTTAGTGAGGTGCCTGGCAGACTGTTCGGTAAGAGCCTGGCATCCCCACAGCAGGGGAGGGGGAGAAGAGTGGGCCAGGCCACAGGGCAAAGGCCCACAGTTCCTCCCATAGCCCCTGGAAGCCCTGCCCGCTCCTCTAGGAACACCAAGCCCTGGAGTATATCTTGGATTCCAGCCTAGACGCTTGAGGAGAGTAAAAGTAGCTTCTTGAATAACAACGACAAGAAAGTCTCCTGGCTGTTTAGCACTTCTGCCCAAAGCCCACAACCCCTGGCTCCCATGCACATTGCGAAGTCCATTTCTTACACCATCTTCCTTCTCCCGATGGAACCCCAGATGGGAGGGGCATGTTTTCAATATTGGCTTGACCTGACCAAAGGCCTGAGGGGTGCACTTCTAAGTTTCTGGAAGTGTCTGCCAGCTCTCCACCTTCTGAGCCAGGCCCACTTATGACCCAAATCTTCATTTTCCAGGTGACCTAACCCTAATCCTAAATGGCCAATAGTGTATGAACTTGGTCTTATTCCCATTTAGCAGCTACAGCTGACCCTTGAACACTAAGGGGTTAGGAGCTCTGACGCCTGGGGAGCTGAAAAACCATATGTAACTTCTGACTACCCCAAAACGTACCAGTAACATACACAATCAGTTACCAAGTATTTTGTATGTCATATGTGCTATACACTATATTCTTAAAGCAAGCTAGAGGGAAAAAAAATGTTTTTTCAAATTGTTACAAATCTCTAAAAAATTTTCCAATATAGGTATTGAAAACAATCTACATATAAGTGGACCCACTCAGTTCAAACCTGTATTGTTCAATTTGTCAACCATATTCTCTAATTAAGTCAACCCATCCTAACAGGCTCTTGAGAGAAAATGTTGACTTAAAATCTAAATGCCAGCTAGTCTACAGCTTAGTGTCATCTGAGCTATAAAAACAGCAAGAAGGGAGAGAGAAAAGGATGGGGATGAGATGGGTGGGGGGAGAAAACATGGCAGAGTGAGGACAGAGAGCATGAGTCTGTGTGTGCAGGCAGCAGGGGCTGGCAGAGGGCCTGCCCTGGGTTGGCACTGGGGTTGTGTGCATGTGGCTCACCTGCTGCTGCAGATGTCTTGTCTCCGAGCAGTCTGGTCTGGCTGCCCGGGATGACCTGGAAGCCCGCGTTCTCAGGGGACTGGGGCAGGCTCTGGGCTCGGGTAGCCAGGAGTGCATTGAGGTACTGCAGCCTCGTGACCTGGAGCACAGAAAGCATTACCTGGCAGGTGCAACTTGTGAGACCAGATGGAGGTGAGGGCCAAGAGTTCACACCACTCCCCCATGCCCACAAGCACCTGAACTAGGTAGGGGAGTCACACTCAGCAGGACGGGGAAAAGGAAGAGCTTTAGTTAGCAAAGGGCAGAGAAGAGCAACTGAGCACTGTGTTTTTAAGATCTCAAAAGGAAACAGGATGCACAGGTCTAAAGATGGGACCAGACCACCCACAGCTGGAGGGGTCTCCGGGGGGCCAGGGTCATCCAGCTACTCTGGGAGGTATCAGACCTAATCAGAGTTTCTCTTAATCCATACAAATTTGTAACTAACTGATCTAGCCTCTTGGGAACACAAGATGGTTAAAAGCCAGCACCAATGAGCAGTCTGGACAGTCACCTTAATCAACTGCAGGTCAGAGAGTGCCCTCACGGTGTAGTCAGGACAATACGCAGACAGGCGAGTGCCATCAGCCGGCTCAGGCTGTAGTTCGTGGCGGGTGGACTGGAGCGAGGACACTGGGGACTGGTGAACTAGGGAAAGGAGCCATCAGTGAGGGGCACCTCCCGCCCTAGTGGGCATCACTGCCCATCCTCTGAGGACCACCCCACAAATCACCCCAGAGAGGGACTGTGCCTAGGAACTCTGGAAAGGGTAGCAAACACACTTCCTCCTGGGGAAGGTTTTGCAGGGATGGGAGTAAGCAGCAATGGTCAGCCCTGAAGAAATGCTGGCCCTCCCTCCACATGGACCAGATGGGAGAAAAACCAACAGGTCCCAGAGTAGGCCACCTTGTTGGAGGCGTGAGCTTGGAGGAAGGAAGGCCAGAATCCTGGCCACTGGAGAGCCCCCATAGCCACCAGAGGGTAGGTGAGCTCTGCCCAGAAGCCAGCCCAGCCTCTGGCTCCAGGAGGCACTGCAGCTTACCTGAGGATGGTGCAGTCAGGGCAGACACTCCATAATAGGTGAAGGCCCCGTTCTCAAACTTCAGCCCTTCTTTCCCGATCTCCACCTCAACCCTGCCCTGGAAGGTATAGAGACATGGGGAGGAAGGAGGGGTAGGGAGAGAAACAGGTGTGGACAGATTATCTTTCCTGACAGACAGAGCACAAGGAGAAAGGAGAAACCTCAATTATTCAGGGGGGGTGCATCCACCCTCCTCTCAGCCCCTTCCCTACTTCCTGAGGCAGTGGGAGGCTCTCCGGTCTGGGCTCCCAGTTACCTGAAGGATGAGAATGAAATAGTCCACTGGCTGGCTGCGCTGGTACAGGTAATGGTGTGTGGCCAGGCGGTTGCTCTCGTCAAACCTCACTTCCTGGTTGACACTGGGATGCTTCAGCAGGTGCAGCAGGACCTTCTCGGAAATTCGTACTGGGCTGAATACATCCACCTCTGCCCCATGGTGGGAAAAAGGGACAGTGTCCACAGAGCCCAGGGGGCCTGTATGACCACACCCTTTGCAGGCTGCCCCCCAGGACTCTCCCCGGCTGGCCCATGGGCCCAGTGTCCTCCCCAACATAAGAGAACTGGGCAGGCACACACCCACCCGGCTGAGGTCCCCTGGGCCCAGCTCTCAGCCCTCTAGCAGAGAGGAGCCACCCCTCAGGGGACCTGGGATACTAACAGGGCCACAGAGAGAAGCAGAGAAGTCCTGCAGAATGCTCTCCTCACTAGGATGGGGGGAGTCAGGTCTGCCCTGAGGGTCCCCTGACCACTGGATGGCAAGCAAGAGAGCAGGGACAAGGCCCCCCCGGCACTCCCTCACCTCGGGAAAGGAAGCGCTGGGTGGCCAAGAGCAGTTGAGGAGAGATTTTCACTTTATATTCATCGTCAGACACCTTGAATAAGGAGAATTCCTCTTTCCGCCTGAGAGGGGTGCTCAGAGGAGCAGGCTTCTTCCTCATGGCCATGTCTCCTAGGATGGCGAGAGGGCCTGCTTAGGGGGCAGCAGGCTCCCGCCACAGGAGCGAACCCAGGGGCGGGCTAGAGGAAGACAAGGCGACTGGGCAAGGCCCGCTATGGGCAGAGCCCTCTCCCAGTGATAGGGAAACAGTACAGCTGCTAGTGGAGCCCCAAGCGCCGGGGCTGCAGAGCCAGGGTTGGGACGGGCTGGGCCACAGTGGCTCCACATTCTGGCCAACAGGGCCAGGAGAAGAGGGCCTAGCTAGGTACAGCTCTGACGGGAGATCCAGCCTCGTTTCCAGCCACATGAGACCTGCTATCCTCTGATTCACATATGTATCTCAGTAAGCTTCAAAGACTGGTGGAGAGGGGAAACTGTCAGGAGCCAAGACTCACGATAGTCTTCAGACTCATCGAGGATCTCCGACTTGATGATCTCCTCAATGACGTCCTCCAGGGTGACCAGGCCCAGCACCTCATAGAAGGGGTCACCTTCACCCTCGTTATTCACCTTTTGCACGATGGCCAGGTGGGACTTCCCTGGGGGAGGGGATGCTCACATCACAGCTTGCCGGGGGGCTCCCAATCTGCCCACCTAAAGGACAGAAGCTGATGCTTGTATCCCTACAATGTGCCAGGCACTGGGCGAGACTCCTGAGGTGCCTACTGAAGGCTCTCTACATGCTCACGAGGATTAGCCTACCATACATACAAGGAATTTAAATCTCAGACACCACGTTCACCTCCACGAGATCCCCTGGGTAGCACACAGCTGGAGTAAGCCCCAGGTCTATGCGACTCCATGCTCTGAGCGTGGTGTAGACAAGAATGCATCCGGGCTAGAGCAGACACAACAGGACTGCAGACACCGGCTCCCTGGGGACAATGTAAATGGGGGAGCCCACAGGGGCCACCCAGACGGACTCCCCTAGAAAAGCTCTCCCAATTCTGAAAACTGGTCTATGGAAGTCCCCCAAGGGATGGATCCGGCCAATCAGGGCCCAGACTGTGTTGAAGTAAGCACGGAGCCTGGAACTTTTCACCTTCCTCTCCTGGGTCTCTCCCAGGTTGGCTTCCTGTTTGTTTTGTCTGCTTGTTTAATAAGGAAATGCAAGCTTGAAAAAAGCCCAAGCCTCTGAGCGTGGGGAGCACTGGGGCAACTTCAGGAGTTTACTCTGCTTTAGGTCACTGCCTGTCATCTACACAATTCTACACCTGTTCAAAAGAACAGAATGCAGGCCATGGATATCACTCAAAATTTTTGAGTAGCCACATTAAATAAACACAGGTGTAATTGATAATACATTGTAAGTAACTCAAGATAGCCAAAATACCATTTCAACATGCAATCAATATGCAAATATTAATAGATGTTTTACTTTTTTGGTACTAAGTCTTTGAAGCCTGGTGTGTGCTTGGCCCTACAGCACATCCTAACTCAGACTAAGGTTACCTTTCTAGAGCTCAACAGCCACATGTGGGTAGTGGCTGATGGCCTGGGTAGTCCTGGCCTAGGAAACAGAACCGAGAGCAAACTCATCTGAACCATGCCTGCCTGTCACTAGTGGAAAAAGACTTAGGGCAAAAGCTGGCCAGCCTGCATGTAAAGGTGTACTTGCTTTAAGAATCTTCTGGTAAAGCAAAATGTCAAGGTCACTTCTTTATATACACCACACTTTACATACCCTGGGTTTAATTACAATGTAGTTGACTGAGTTTAGAAACACATCTCTGGAGTCTACAGGACATGCTCTGCCTCATTCTTTCAGCATCTGTATCTCTGGAGTAGTCAGGTAGAGGAAGACCTCCGCTCAACAGATGGGTGGAAGGAAAATGTCAAGAAAAAGCTCTTACTATTATTAGGCCACTAACCAGATGATAAGAAAGGAGAGAAGGCTGAAAAAGAATAAAGAGATAACATTTACTGTATTCCATCCAATCTAAGATGCCATCAATTATAGGACACATTCTGATGACTGCGATGTTAAAATGCAGAAATATGTGCCTCCAAGAACTGAAGAGATGCAGTGTTCAGCTGAGTCCTCCAACAGCTCTGAGGCATTTAATACCATTACACCTGCTGTGCAGTTTACAGAGGACACGGAGGCCAAGAGAGGCTTGGTAACCCACCCAAGTGCAAAACCAGGATTCGAACCCAGGCAGGTGGCTCCTGAGTCCACTCTCTAACCAAGTGACTTTCTTTTGCTCAGTTGACTTTCACTGAAGAGAACAGACTGGCCCTTAGGAGACCCTCCCCACAGGCAAGTCACACATCACCAAGGGGCGCTCTGTAGCACAGGCCCTTCCAAAGAAAAGACAGCAGTGCAATCAGGGTGCTCTGATATCCTGTCAGCACAGGTGAGGGTGCAAGTGATAGCAGGGCGCTCTGATGTCTTCCAACTGCAGGTGAGTGTGAAAGTGACCACACTAGGTTGTCTTCCTATCTCCCAGGAGGAAAAGGCCAGGAGTTCCTGGACAGCTATCTGCTCACTCCTGCTGAAATAGGTGTGGACTGAGGAATGCCACCTTTCTAGAAGCTCTGCCACTTGGTATTTGTGTTGGGAATGGCTCACCATTCCTAAGGGGGCCATGGTAGCCCTGCCCCATGTTGCAAACATCATGCCAGATCAGGAAGGCCAAGGCAAAGCACACAAGTCTAACATCTACAAAACAGGCTCAAGTTCCTCAGTGACCTGCCACATGGGACGACTCAATAATCAACAGAAGAAAAGAGCCCTTGGAAGATGTCCTAAAACAGTGGCCATGAGATCTCATCTCAAAACAACATTTGAGGAGTCCAAATGACAACCACGACAGAGTAGTTGGGGTACAAAGAGAAAGGGCAGCTGGCTGGACTGAAGTTTCTCTCTCATCTTATAGGATGAAACCCCATGAAAATACAGAGGCTCCTGGCTGGCTGACCAGAGACCCTCCCTGAGCAAGCTCTACAGGGCCACAGGCAGGGGGCAGGGGGCAGATCTGTCAACAGCAACCAGAAAGCTCTGAAAAAGCTACCAAGTTTTCATTTGTAAGGAGGCTCAAGGGTACTCAAAAATTATATGGACACTAGAGAACTCTTCCAGAATGCCTGATTTCTAGGATATTCTTAAAAATGCAGTTGGGAGTTTAAATTCCTCTGCCTTACCTTTTGTTTTTTTTTTAAATCAACTGTCTGAATATGTCTGAGAAAAGTACCATGCTAACATTCTCACAGGTTTTCGAAGTTGTGGCAATGCTGTGCCTTCTGACAGACAAGGAACCAGAGCTTAGTTTGTTTAAAGCTGAGACTCTGAACAAAGCTCACCCAACCTAGGCCCTCCTCTGGATAAATGTCCTTGGGATAGTCTCACCAGGGTTGACAAAGAGAACAGAAGTTAAGGGCTTTCGAGGAAGCACACACTCTTTACTATAGCTCTGAAGCACTCACTCTTTCTGGTAATGTTCACACAAAATAATGATGTCACCTCAGGCCGCGTACTAGCTAAAGGCGCCTCACTGGGGAAATGCCTTGCCCACACTCTGAAGTCCCAGAACAGACAGTTCTTTGAAAGAATGAAAGACACAGGCCCCAGAATGGCAGCTGCCAAGAGGGAAGGACTCCAGCTTCAGGAAACATGGAGGGCATCATACACTTGGCAGAGAAGCAGGAAGGGAACAGAGTTCTAAAGCCTAAGGTGCCATACGGGCTGCAATATGCCCTTTGTTCATAAGCAGAATGAAGAAGGGAATTAAGCTAAAAAAGACTTTAAAGAGGACCAATAAAGATACCCACCAAAAGATTACACTGCAAAAAGAAGCAGTGAAAACTTCGAGACGTCACAGGAAATACATGGACCCAGACTGGTCTTCTTCAGTCACCCAGGAGGAGGAAGGCAAGGGGACTAAGAGCTCCCCATCCAACCTCCAGGCTGCAAATCCCCTTGACCTCCACCAGCTTCTAGTGGGCTGCTTTTCAGCATGCTGTTAGGAGGCAGCTGCTGGTCTGGCACTGGGCTCATGAACCTGCTTGGTTCTCCAGAGTTGCTCTGAAGCCACCACTCCAGGACAGAGCAGCCTATTCCATGGCCTACCCCATCTACCAGCTCCTCCCTATCAACATTTAAACCTAGACCGACTTGACTCACCCTTCTTAAAAACAAAGAGCAGAAGGCCCCCTCCCCTCCCCATCCTCTCCCAGCCACGGCTTCTGCTCCCACTCTGTAGCCATACCTCACGGGAAGGAAGCCTGTCTACCTTAGCTGTCATACCTCTTCATGTCCCATTCACTTGCCCATCACCTGATGCTGCGGCACCAAATCTTCTCTTGCAAACGGCAAGGGTATCCTAGTCGCTGGATCCACATGACATGACACTGACCTCTTTTCCTGATCACCCATCCTTCATAAGTGGTCTCTTCTCTTGGCAGCCAGGGCAATCCTGAGCCCCTAGCTCCCCCAGCAGCTTCTCCTCTGCTGCCCTCTCCCCCTACACACTTGTGTTGCCTGGCAGTATAGGCTTCCTGCTTCACTTCTGCAGACTGAGGGACCACTTTGTAGACCAGATTTTACCTCCTGTTCTGGTCTCTCACTTGCATTTCACATCAACTGCCTCTACAAGTCAGCCTCTTGGGCCATGGCACAGATGCAAATTTCAAAGTCTGGCCCCAGCACGCCTCTCCCCTGCATGTGCTCTGCCTCAGGGAAGGGCACCACCACCACCAAAGCAAACACACAGACTTCATCCTCAGCTCCACTGCCTCTCAGCTAACCACAAAATCCTCCCAAGTCCACCTCCAAATGCCCTCTCGGATCTCTTCTCCAAGCCCAGTGGGCACCCTTATTCAGCCTACCATCACCTTAGCTGCCCCCCTAACTGGGGTCTCCCTACTCTGGTCTCCACGCCAGCCAGCCATCTCTGGGAACCCTCAGGTGGTACCAGCTCTGCTCAGTCACCATCCTGGTGATCAAGTCCAGCATTCGGAGGGTCTCAAGCTAGGAGGTCACAGGGGCAGGACAAAACCCTCTCCCGCTGATTTTGGAGCCAACACTGCCAGCCACCAGGCCCTAAGAACCGCCGGGGAACCAGCACTGCTGTGGAGGTCTCAGCAGCCCAGACAGAGCACTTACTACCCGAAGGTTCTGCTTGGCCCTCACCCAGGGCTCCCCTCCCCAGAGAGGGGCTGCATGGCCACTTTCTGGGGAAACAGCCAGGTGCACCCAAGAGATTGTCTCGCACAGCAGTCAGAGCGGCCCGTCAAAGTCTCCCACCCAGTCTGGGGGTACGGTAGTAACAGTGACTGACTATTCAACACCCATGCAGGCCTGTGGCCAGGAGGCTTCACAGTTGCCAGCAGGATTAGGAGCTTTGCTCACCTCTCCACCTCACGTTGTGCAGCCTTTGGGGTCATGCCCATCCAGAATCTGGGCATGTCACCATGCCCATCCTGCAGGAGTTCAGAAAAGCCTGGCTAGCAGCCAAGGAGTGCCCCCAAAGTACTGCAGAGGAAGCCACACCTTCACACTTCGAGGGCCTCAAGTTTTTACCTGCAACCTTACAGTTGGCTAAGATAACCCAAGGTGAAAGAAGAGGATGAAAATGTTGACTTAGGAGAGAACTTACTCAAGGTTACAAAAGGGGAACTTAAAAAGGAAAGACAGAGGAAGGGAAAACTAAATTAGCCTCCATGTAGTGGCTGTTGGTGAAATCAGAGTGCAAGTTTCCACATCTGCAGAAAAGTTAGGAATCTTCCCTTTTCTGGATTCTGGAAGGTAGCAGCCCTTCCTGACCTTAACAGTGATCCCTGGGAACATCACAGGCCCAGCTAATTTGGTATTGTATGTGTGCTGCTAACAGCGTTCAAGTATCTCAAGACTATACTCTTTCCTCTGTTCCTTCAGTTTCTATCCAGGAGTCTGAACCTACTGTAAGGACAACGCCCACAAAAATGACCTGGGAGAGGGGAAGAACTGGGGAGTTGGCACCAGTGGCCACTCCTCTGCAAACTGAGGGTCCTCCAGGAAAAGGGCTGTCTACAGCACTCTGCCACCCTCTGAACGAGAGCCTTTAAATGTTTTCTAAGTTCACTCAAGAGCTGCAAGGCCATCATCTCTAAAAGGTCACCGAGGTGATCTCACTGCAGTGCACAGAAATGGGACCCTTTCTTCCAGGCTTCCAGAGCTCCCCACCAGTTTTCTATGGGCAGGCCCCGGCACTGGAGTGCCCCCACCCCTCCCGCGATTCCCCGGATGTTACCTCGTTTGAACTCTTCCAGGACGGCATCCAGCTTGGTGTCGTTGAAGACAAAGTGGAGTGGGTGGTTGTAGAAGCGGGTTATGGTGCTGAGCGGCGTGCAGTCTTCGGGGTCCACGAAGGCCAAGTCCTTGAGGTAGAGCATGTCCACAATGTTGGAGCGCTCCTCCTCGTACACGGGGATGCGCGTGTGGCCGCTCTGCATGATGCTGGCCAGGACGCTGAAGTCCAGCACGGCGCTGGCGTCCAGCATGAAGCAGTCCTCGAGTGGCGTGAGCACATCCTCCACCGTCCGGCAGCGCAGCACGCCCTTGCTAAGATCGCTGTAGGGGTCGCCGCCGCCGCGCGCCAGCTCCAGCACGCGCTCGCGCAGCCGCCCGGGCCGCGCCGCCAGCTCTAGCAGCTGCCCCACCGGCAGCGCCACGGGCAAGGTAAGCAGCACAGCCAGGCGGCTGAGCACCAGCGCGCGCGGCGCCAGCGCCAAAGCCCAGCGCCCGCTCACGGCGGCCGGCACCACCTCGCCCACCAGAAACACAAGCCCCGCGCTACACAGCACAGCGGGCACCGCGCGCTGCCCGGCCGCGCGGTAGAGCAGCACAGCCAGCGCTGCCTGCGCCAGGCTGGCCAGCAGCAGCAGTGCGCCGAGGGCGCAGCCGGCCCAGCGCCGCGAGGGCTCCAGGCGCCGCGCCGCCGCCCGCTCCGCCTCCGAGCCGCTCTCGCGCAGTACCTGCACCTCGGCCGGCGCCAGCGACAGCGCGCTCAGCTGCAGGCCCCGTGCCAGCGCCGCCAGCGCCAGCAGCCCCGCCGCCCCCAGGCCCAGCGCCCAGGGCGGAGCCGACTCCTCGGCCACAGCGCCGCCGGGTTCCACGCGCACCGCCAGCAGCGCAGAGTGCGGGCGCTCGGCATCGGCGCGCAGGCGCAGCAGCGCGCGCCACTCGCCTGAGGAAGCCACCGCTTCCTCGGCCGCGGAGCTGCCTCGCTCCCCGCGCACCGCCGGGAGTCCCGAGTGCGGGCGTTCGGCCTGGGCGCGCAGGCGTAGCAGTGCGTGCCACTCGCCCGTGGGGTCCGCCACTTCCCCAGGCGCGGTGGCCGGCCCGCCCTCCGGGCAACCCGCCCCCTCAGGGGCCACCCAGGACCAGGAGCTGTTGGGGAAGCCCAAGCCAAAGAGGCGCAGGCGGAAGGTGGCCTCCGGCACGGCCCTAACCTCCTCTCCGCGCGCCCACCCAGCGCCCGCGGCTCCGTCCTCCTCCACACAGATGCCCAGCACTCGCGGACCCGGCGCCGCCTTCCTGCCGGCGCTGCCCAGGCAGAACGCGGCGAGCAACCAGCCCAGCCGACCTGCCGCTGCCGCCGCCGCCATCACCGGCTGCCCCTCTCGGCCTCCCGCGCAGCCTACCCCTCTGCCTCTCCCGGGCCAATCGTCGCCAGCCTGAATGCCTCCTCCGCCAATAGGCGGCGGGCGAGGCGGGCCCCAGGGTCGGACTAGGCTGCGCCGGGGCGTAAACAAGCAGCGGCGCGATCCCGGGGCGGGGGGTCTTGGGACCCACGGGGCCTGGCCGCAGCTCTCCGGGCGAGAGGTGGCAGGCGTTGGAGGAGGCGGAGCGGCGAGCTGCACCGCCTCCGCGGACACCTCGTTCTCACAGGCCGTCCCCGCCCGACGGGAGGCTGGGCTGGTGCTCCAGGAAGTCCCTGTCTCGGGACTCGGGGCGCGGAGCCTAACGGCTTGTAGGCAGAGTTCAATGTATAGATGAGCCGTTTTCTTAGGAAAGGGGTCCCTTGAACCACTGACCTGAAGGACAGGAGGTGACTGGGCGTCTGGAAGCCAAGGTTTACTGAAGAGAGATTTATTGATCGCGCCTGACTCTGCTATTGGTCTGGGGACGTGAGACAGTGCCTGCCTTCAGGCCCGGAAGAACGGTGGCAATTATGTAAACACAAGACAGAGCTACCTTATTGGATCTTCACAGCGACAGCACGTTGTTATATTACAGGCGCAGAGGAAGCCTGACTCAGCATGGATGTTGGGTTCCAACCCCCTGGCCACCCTCCCAGCCACATTTGGAGAGCAGCTCTGTCAGGAATTGCTGTATCTGGCCACTCCACTTTTCTAGCAGATCATCCTTGGGAAAATAATTACTCAGAACCAACAAAAACTAGTAAAGAGGATCCTCACTAGAGTTATTTTAGAAGACAGTGTGGGATGCTTTTCATATATCTTTGGAAGGAAATAGACAAACCTCACTGAACATGTCTTATATGTGTCCAGACTGGTTACATTTTTTTCACATTTTTATATATTTTCAAGTTTCCTGACATAAGTAGACTTGATAAGACTTCATATATATGTCATTTAAAATGGTCTTTGTAAGGCTTATATAGACATAATTTGCTATGTCATGAAAATAATATTAAAAAGTATAGACACTTAAATGGCCACAATTAAATGTGTGGAAGGCAATGTGCAAAAATTAGTAAACCCATAGTGAACTACCAAAAGAAAAATTTGTGAAAAACTCTTCAAAGGATGGTAACAGTATCTCTTCTCCATTGTAAACTAGACAAGACCGACCACATCTCCGTGTTTGTTTCTGTGATCCCGACGGTGCTATGCCCTTTGAGTAATTTGCCTCACTGCAGATTACAGAATAAGGGAGTAGCAAAAGTAAGGACGCTACTGGGCATTTTTACTGGATTAGCAAGCTTCCTCTGAAGAAAAAAAATAATGGCTGCAGCCCCTTTAATTCACACTTTTGTCTCCAAGTCCAGATAAAAGGCTGACATTGAGACAGAATGGATGACATGCTTGAAGTGTGTCCTGTGTCTGAAGTTATTAATTAGCCAAGAACAGTTCCAGAGGAAAGACTCCCTATGGATTTAGACAGGGCTCTGAACTTTGATGAGTTACTATTTCCTTGATTTTAGGCTACCTTGGAAAACAACCTGTAACTCAGTTTTTAAGAAAACCTTTAGGTAGAACAACTGGATCATACTTGGAAAACACAAATGGTCATTTACACTGTCGGGACCCAAAGACAAAGAATCCAGCTCCATGAGAACAAAGCTGTTTATGGAATCACTTCTATTAGCAACAGAGGCCTCAATAGCAGGTTTCTTCCTCTTGGCTCTTCTTCCATGCCCCATTCTCTGGTTAGTCCCAGCATCAAAGGAGACACTTGCCATGTGACCTTCAGATCCCTCAATGACCTTCCCTGGGCCGTCTTCTTTACAGATCATTTGGTTGAAGTCATTTCCATGTTTTATCTAAACATTTATTCTTGAGTTGCAAACCCAAAACTGTTGTGTGACTTCACTGGCTAATACCTGCTTATCTCTCAAGCCTGCAAATGTCACTTCCTCCAGCTGGTCTTCCTCCACCATGCTAAGTTGGGTCAAGGTTGTGGGAGCTGTGTGCTCTTCTGTTGCATCCAGTCCTCACCTTACTGAAGACCCATTCTTTCAACAAGTTCGTTCATTCAACAAGTGTTTTCTGCATTCAGTGCCTACAGTGTACCAGGTACTGTTCTAGTACTGGGACTGTGTGGGAAATGAGAAAGTCCCTACCCTCCTGGAGTTTAGGTTCTTGTGTGGGGACAACAGAAAGGAGACAACAGAAAGGCACAGTAAGGAGACAGAGGATTGGGGCCATGCTGTTTTAGATGAGGTGACCAGGGAAGACGACTTCTCTCAGGTGACATTTGAACAGAGGATTAGATGAAGTGGGGGGTGAGACCCACAAAGACCTAGAAGTGTTCCAGGCAAAGGAGACAGTAATCAAAAGGTCCTTTTGATTTGACAAGCTCCCTCAGGGAGGTCTTCCTCACAAAATTCACTGAGGGGTCGGTGGCACCTCATGGGCAGGGACTTAAACGTGTGGGACAGATGATGAATGAAATTTAATTTACTCTTGCCCCCCTCTACCCAAGTTCCACATTTGCTCTTTTATCTGGAATATCCTGCCTACCCCCTTGCCTCCCTTTCTTTAAACATTCCCTTCAATTTGTCTGCTTTGTTAAGTCTGGCTTGCTTGAGCCAGCCCCTGGCCTCAGCACACTGATGGCACGCACCAGCCGCGTCACCCATGGGCACCGCAGGAGTCTGCACAGCAGGTTTGGGAGTGAGTGCAGGGAGACAACATAGGCGGGCTCATCAGGGGATGAGCCTTCCAAATTTGAAACCACAACTCACCCCCGAGTATGGGCAAAAGCTAGCTGCATGGTATGAAGCAATGTACTCATACTTTGGGATCCAGTTTCTTTCTCCTTTAGCTCCCAGGGGAGAAAGCAGCAATTTGCCCATTCTAGCTGGCCCCTCTGCTACCTGCAGGCAGAAGACCCTATGGTGTCCATTTTACAGGATTCCTAATTGTGGCAGTTGAGCACATTTGTCCTCTATGCCTAGCAGCAGCTGGCACTCTCTAGCTCCAGTGACAAGAGCCTTGATTATATGCATTTTGTAAGTTCTGCTTCCTTTTTATTGCTAAACAGCCCCAGAATACTTGCCCCTTGAGTCACACATGAGAGCCAGCCATAGCTACTGCTATCTCTATGACAGGTACTCATAGAGACAGAACTCAAATAGGCAAACTGTAGACTCACTGAGATTACACATTTCATTTTTTATTACCAATCAAAAATAAATTCCATATATTGTTTAGCAAATATTATCATTGTCTTGTGACAAGACACAAGAGTCATAACAGAACTCCCCGAGAGTCAAAACTCAAAACAATGCCAAAATAAATCACAAAAATATACAAATTAAAATCTTATGCAAAATAAATATGAGTTATTTGCTATGTTGGCTATGATTTGCCTACCCATTTGGAGGCCATGGTCTTGCCAAGGTCTCCCTTACATGGGAAGACATGCAGGGCTGGGCCAGTTCCAGAGTATGGCTCAGCCCAGGAACCAGAGGTTATGACAGGAAGTGAAAAATTGCACTGAGAGAAGTCATCAGACCAGTAATATTTGGAAATAATTATGACCCTCTGCAAGAAGTGATTATAAATGGGGAACAATGGGACAGGGAAGAGGGACCATCTATTGGTAGTAACTGTGTGTGCAAAGAGGTAGCTATAGAAGTGTGTGCCCTACTCCTTTTCTTCACACACATTCACTTGTGCAGGCCAGTGCTGTATGCTCCACCTGGCACTCTGGCCTCTCAGGAACATGCTCTCTAAGTTCCTGTGAGGACTCAGAAAGCAAGCTGCTCCCATAGAAAACTAAGGGGTTTCCCCCAGTAAGGACAAAGGTGTGGTCTTTTTCCCCATGGCTGAGAACCCATGGGTGTCACCTCCCTCTCTCCAGACTTTCAGGAATAAATTCTGTGACTGAGGAAGACTTTAAGCTGACCTGGGGCAAAAATACTTGGTGTAAAATACTTCCTGGTTCTGAGAGTTAGGATTCTCTAGGCAACTGAAGAGGAGAGCACCTGGGGTTACAATTCACTGGTGGGGAAAGGAGTGAGTGAGTAATACTCAGGCAGGAGGCCTGCAGTCTGCCTCACCTGACCTTGGGCCCCAGCAACTGTCTACCCAACAGAAGGGCGTACATGGACCTCGGTCCCAGACTCCCCAGCAGTGAGCCGGCCTATTCAGCCCCAGGAAAAGGCACCCAGGCAGGACTTCATGTTGGGTGGGGCTCTCAGGGTCCACTGCCACTAGCTTTAGTGAAGGCCCTGACAACAACTCCTAGGATCACATGGGTGGGGGTGGGCTGCCAGATGTGTGCCCTTTCAGGTGGGAGCCTCCAGTCCTGGGCTCTGCAAGTATGTTGTCAAGGTCAGGGACAGCTCAGCAACGGAGTCAAGAGCATGAAGAACCTGCTCAGGCTGCTTTCCATATGCCCACTTGTCTTCAATCCCCAAGAGGCACTGGGGTTTGGGGATCAGAAGCCGGGAGTCTGGAAAGTAGGGCTTCATGGACCACTGACTAAGACTTGACCTGCACAGTGGGGTGGGAAGGGAGATGGCATTAACTGTTAATTGTTAACAATGCAGGTGCACAGGACCAGGTTCCCTCTTGGAACCAAAAGGAGTATCCTAAATGAGTTGCCTCTAGCGCAGTGCTCTCCTACCTAGGGGAAACCTTTGGTAAAGGTGAGGACAGCGCCTGGGGAGTGGGGCTGAGCAATCTGGAAGGTGTGAGACCTTGCCGAACACTTTAAGTTGGCCCCATTACAAGGGGAGTTGTCCAAAAGGACAGACAGGAGGCAAACCAATAGGAACAGGAGTGAGAGTCCACAGCCTAGCCCCAACTCACCGGCAGAGTCCAGTTCTAGGGCATTCCTGGATCCTGAGACTGAGGGAGTCGCTGCGCTCCTCCCCACAGCTGCGAGTGTCCCTGGTCAGTTACCCACAATCCCCCGCCCTCAGCAATGGCAGGCCAGTCTCAGTGCACGTGTCCAGGCAGTTGTTCTCGGCAGTATTTGGTTATTTGCTTCCTGGGAAGAACCCTGTTCCACCCAAGGGAGAGCCCTCCTCCAGCGGGCCTCTGAGAGCCCATCTCTGAGGGAGGAGGAGGGAAGAGTGACTC